TATCTTAAAGTATTATGTTGAACCAATTGTATGAAAAATTTTTGTTTTTTACTATAATAAAATGAAAAATATCACCTTTGGTTCAGTAACAATAAATGCACCTAAGTACACCATCTAAGTTGGTATTATTTATCTTATGTCCAAAATTCATCCAATTTCTACATTACTGGWGGGAAAAAATACCCATGTCTTGTGTAACGGCGCCCTTTAGTGCACCAGAAATGCTACAACAGATACAGAAAACTAAGAAAACACAGGAAGTGATGTCATCAACGTTTTCTGTACTTTTCTTTTAACAATCAGCTAAATCCCTCTGTCCCTCTGAGATCCCTCTATTTTTTGTGTCCCCAAGTGAAAGCAGCACACCAGACTTCCTGTTTCCGCTTCCATATTTGGTCATGCTCCAAAGCTGTACTTTGTCAGGGATYATCTGACGGTCTGCGTTCAAAGGTTTTCCCGAGCCTTTCACTGAAACCTGTTGACCCTAAACCCGGGGTGAGAAGAGGGTAAGTGCCTGGAATCAGATTGGACCTTTTTAAAGCTTAAGATGTGTTTTCAGATAAAGTGTAATCCGCTTGTATTCTCAGATGGCTTCATTGTGGCAAAATGTTCTGGCTGTGCACCAATGGATTGTGGAGAATGGAGGTACGATCWTCACTTTTATCTCTAGCTGCAAAACTTTATAAAATACCAGGAATACATAAAATACCAGTTCMAACTAGTCAGGCAGTTTGAAATCATTTGTTGTTCATGATGTGTTTATTTCGAGTTTAGCTGCTTTTTATCTTTTTTATTATTCTTTTCAGTCCATCCCTGACCATGAYAGCATGTCGTGTACCGCATGCTGAATATTACGGGGCACCAAAATGTAAAAAGAAAAAAAAATCATTATTTAGCTTATTTTCTGAATGYAAAGTTCTAGTTAAAATTTCCACTAATAATTTTGTTATTTAGTTCAAATCAGCAAAATGTAAGCATTTTGGTAATTTTTACTAAGTGTTAAATTTAAATGTTACATCTAAACTAGAGGTCCCCAATGTAGGGCCCGTGGGCCAAAACTGGCCCACCAAGCTGTTTGGTTTGGCCCACCAGAAGTTTCTCTGATTACTAGTTGTAGAAACACTGTATTTCCTCTTTCCACACTTAAACCATTGGCCCAGTGACTATATGAGGGGCTGTAGTGCAGATAGTTTTCACTCATGGTGCATGTCTATGAATTATTACAAGATCATACAGTAAGATTAAATGTGAAATACAAGTAACTACAAAAGACTTTGACATTAGATTTAAGCAAACATGTAGATTTGTACACTTTATAAGACCGCAAATATTATTAACTTAAATATTTTTTCACTTTATGAAATGTCCCATGAGCCTTTGCTGCCTGAACATATGTCAAACTTATGCATATGATAAAAAACAAACAAACAAATAAAAAGAAGAAAAAACAACATGGGCCACTCCACTGACTGCTAGTTACTAATAAACAATAAAATGACTTTACCCATAAAGTGTTTGCGTTTCATACATTATATTATTGCAACTGCCCTTAGATAGATTTTCATTTTGGCCCTCTCTGGGAAAAGGTTTGGGCCCCACCGATCTAAATGTTAAATTCTTAATCTAAATGTGTAAATTTAAATGTAAAAATTWAATCTAAATGTGGCTAAGTGTTGACGTTTACATTTAATTTGCCATTGGTGCTCAGGTTTTGTTGTGATGTCATCATTCTGCAACAAAAGCAGCCTCTACACTGCTGATGCTGCTGCTGATGGCATTTAAATTTTAAACTTAAAATGTGTTTTTTGAAAATAATATGGAATGGATGGTACCTGCAGTTTGAAGTCCAGCTCAGGCACCGGCCACAACTGCAAGTTTGATGTCTTGTAGGGTTGTGTTAGCAGTGTTAGCAGCATTAGCGGTTGCATTTTTTGCAGGACATAATGTCAAAACAAAAACAGCATAACAACAGAAAAAGTTTTTTTATTCTGAAATACAAAAATGCTACGGAGCCCGCGAGGGGACATGGGGGAATTTTTTTCTTTTGCATTACCTCGCAATAACTTTGCATTACCTCGCAATAACTTTGCGGTACCTGGCAATACTTTTGCATTCCCTTGCAAAATTGTTTTGCATTCCCACGCAAAAGATTGTTTTAGATATGAACTGAATTAAATCAGACTTTTATTTTGAAATATCCGGTTACCAAAACAGGATGTGTCGC